ACTTCTTACGCAAATCACATACTGCTTTTGGACTAGAGGGGGCGCTACCATAGAAGCTGTATGCAGTAACGTTGACTAGCTTTGTAATATGTGCAGTCAGAGTTGTGTGAGTCCTGATGGGAAGGCTGAGGAATACTCAAGGATCATGGGAACGCTTAAAACCACCACCTCAGTGTTTTCAATGCACAAAAACAATAGAATTTTTGCAGAACTGCACAGTTTTAATGGACTTTTTAACTCTCACCCTAACACATACGGTAGATCTTTTTTTAAAGGTACTCTGTGTCATTTTTACAGTTGCTCCAAATGAAAAAAACTTGTTAACCAATAACACATGTGACCTTTTTGAGAATATTTACCGCCACAATCTTTTTGAATTGTTGTCATAGGCTTAGAAATTGACTTATAAATGCCCATGAGAGCTGAGTACTCTATTGGTCAATGCGCCATATTGAAATACAGTGGTTGATAAGGGACAAAAAGGAGTTTGACAGGGAGTTGGGGACCGCTGTCCAAGACGACATATTGTCCTGCCAAGCATGCTAGATGAGAGTAAAAACTACACAGTGGACCTTTAAGCTTTAGTATTGTTAAATTCAAACATCTCTGAAGGTTTAGATCAGGGGTGTCGAACCGGTTCCAGAAAGGGCCTCCAACACCCGACTCCACCCATTTCTTCCAGTTTTATGGATCTGAGGAAATGGGTGGAGTCTGATGTGCTCTAGCTCAGGTTGGAACTAAAACCTGCAACCATACGGCCCTTTCTGGAACCGGTTTGACACCCCTGATTAGATAGATAGATAGTTAGATTAGTTTATTTATCTCTGCAGGAGAAATCCAAATGTCCAGCAGTAGAAAACGCATCCATTCATACACACCTAATGTTTATGGAAGCTAATATCAGGCTCTTATATGAAGTTTTAGCCTGGTATTTCATTATGGTATTTCACAAAGCAAATTAAGCTGTGTTTAAATCCAAATAAATGTTCTTCTCGACAGCCGACCAACTTCACCAACCCAGTGTATGCGACCTTGTACATGGGCGCCCACAACAGCCGTAACTCTCTGGCCAGCACGGACGAGAAGAAGGAGCTGCTCTCCGCGGCCGATGACGACATGAGCGACCCGCTGGCGTAGAGCTCGAACTGTGGAGCCAATAATCCCTCTCATCTTACGTCTTTACCCACGAGAAAGAAAAGCAACAAAAAAGCGAGAACACTGTACAAAATGTATAAAATGAAGGACTACTTTTTTAAGTACTGGCAGTATTATATTTTGTTCTTTTAAGAAAACAGAAAAATCATCTGGTGGTGAAAAGGAGTTTTATAGACATTTATCCAGTTCTTTTAAAATTTTACTCACCCCTCTCCTCACCGCTCTCCTCCCCCTGCCATGCATATAGCCACTACCTCTGTGCAAAAGATAGAGATACCAATGGCAATGGAACAATTTTTATGTTTTATTTTTTTAATAATTGTATAGGGAAAAGAATATTGTTCCATCCTAGCAAACATTGGCAAGTCGTATTGTTGGCGAGGGAGAGTGCTCACATGAATGCTTCCTGATGCTGGTGTGGCTCGTTTACATGTGTATTTGTATGTTGCTGCTGAAAGTCTGACACAAGGGAGGAGGAGGTCACGGGCACAGAGGAGCAGCATCAGACCCCTCTGTTTGATTGTCTCAAAGAACTACATCCAAGTGATTGTCTTTTACCTTCTTGCACAGACTAAAGTTATATATTTGCATATATATGAACCTATTAACAAAGTGTCTTGAGAATATATCCAGGAATACCACCGTCAATAACAATAGCAGTCTACTTTTAACGGTACATTTTAGCCATTGTATAGTTGGCATTAGGGATGAGTGCGTCTGTGGCAGTGTGTGTGTATTGGATGAAAATGATTGTATAAAGCCACATTCCGGGTAGAAGCCTGGGACGGCTCTGTGGCCTTGGATTCGCCTGCAGCAGGCCACTCCGCTCAGAAGTGGAACAAGCCTCTGAATATCCGGTTATCACTGAAATGCAATCTGTGACGAATAAACTGGCAGAGGATGGTTACGTTTAGCTTTGCTCGTGTGCTATGATTGTATCTACTTTCTGGAAAGGCCGGTTGATGGTACGTTATGTGTGGGAGATTAAACTTTTGTTTTTAATGGTATGTAATTACATGTACGTGTAATTTAGGTTAAAGCTTGTCGCTAAGCATTCCCAGGAAGAGCACTGATCAACTTCCTGATACTATTCCTTTGTAATTCCTCGCCTTGCTGCTAATGCTAACCATTTGTCTGTCAGCTGAGACTTTCTTAGACGTGTCCTTTTACCACAGGTTTTATCGGTCACTCCTGAGAAAGCTCTGGGCACGCAGCTCTTTCAGACACACATTTTCTTTGCTCTTCACAGTATTGACGCTTTGTTCTTTTTTCACACGTTTTCATCACAACACGCAAACTAAAATATCACTTTTGGTTTTAGGATTTCTTTCATGTTGAAACCCACATCGATGTTTGTGGTCATAATTCTTTTGTTATGATTACATTTTGTTTTGATATTAAAAAAATTAAATGGATTTTTATAGTAGAAAAGTATGCCGGCTCTGTCTGTCATTTGCTTATGGTCCCACTAAAAAACTATAGACTGAAAAATAAATGCATGTCAGTGGTTCTCAACGTGGGGGCCGGGACAAAGCTGAAGATGGTTTTCAGTGGATTTCCCCAACTCTTTGACACAAACACCATAATTACAGTGAAATGAGCTAAATTAAAAGAAACAAAAACTACATGTATTTGCCATATTCAAAAACCAAAATATCTCTTCGGTCCAGAGTGAAAACTCTGAAAATCCTTGCATAGAGAGACAGCTGTTTTGAATATTGCTTCTTTAAAATACACATCAATTGAATTTTTAGTTTCAATATTTATTTTTAGCACAAAATATCACCTTGATGATCAATATAATCTGTTTTCTAAAATAAAAGGATTGGAATGTACATTCATACAAAGCTCATGAAACAATAGTGTCCTTTATGTTAAATCTAGTGTTTACAGGTCCCTTTCTGCCGCTGGACACTCAACAACACAGTTTTGTAGAAAGGCACAAAATATGATTCCAACATTATCTGAGCAAATAAAAGTCCATGTTCTTCATTTGTCACTTTCAACGCAGAAAGTGTTGTCGAAGTAAAAAAAAAAGGAGAAAACGTAATATTATGGCTCTTTACCATGTTAATGTTGAGCTGCAATCCACACAACATTCAAAATGATGTGTCTCTCAAAAGCTTACATTTGGCTTCTCAGTCTTTGCATAATTAAGTACAACAGTTTATATTAAGGCAATACAAATATAACTATTGACAAAGGAGTGAATATGGCTGACACTAAAGGCACAGGTGATGTGTTTTGGCTTTTCTAGCATGTCAAAAACATCTGGAAAACAACTGATTTAATTAAAAGTGTCAAAATGTTTCATGAACATCAGCAGCAGACTTGAGTCTTCCCTTGGTTTGTCCTGCTGTGAATTGCATATTGTAGTTTCAAAAACAAAGTCTATAGGAGACAAAACAGGTGATTTTCTGCTGTCGCCCCAAAGTCAGTTCAGTTTGAAACGCTCTGGGGACGTGTGATTCTGATTCCTGTTTCCTTAAAGTGGCTTAGTAGGGCCTCCTCCATAAATAAATAAATTACCCAGCAAATCAATGCCTGAGGTGTCCTGTGGTCGGCAGCCTCACGTTGCTTATGGAGCGTCACAAAGCACAGGGAGGAGGGGTTATGGGCAGGACAAGGCGGGGTAAGTATCTTTAAGACATTTTAGGGCCTCTTCCACCCACTCCGGATCAGTGCGTCAGCTCGCAGGAAGGGCTGGTTTCGGAGATCTGTGAGTGTGCAGGAGAACGGGGACACACATGTTAGAAAACCGCATCAAACATCAAATAACAACTCAAAACATCACTGAAATGTATTATAATTGTTTTAGAGACAAGGAAGCGAGTGGCATTCCCATAACCAAAGCTTCATCGATGGTTTTGGGAACACCAGCACAATTAACAATGCATCATTAGTGCAACTGGTGCAACGCAGAAGTTTGGTGAACAGGCTCAAGTGTCAAAAGAGTCTAGTTCTACTGCACGGACTCTTGTTTGTAAGAATTGGTCTGAAAATCACCTTGAAGCCTGTGGACCAAAACACTGTTACATTTAAGACATGGATGACGAGTGGTAGACAGTGGACAACATGCAACATGGTACAGGGAGGATGATGGTGAACAACAAATGCTTTAAAATACAATATTGTTCCATTTTAAGATTTAGAGATCATTTACTCGTCCCACAGTGGGGATGTTTCTGTTGCTTTGTGTAAAGAAATCCAGTAACTTCAATATATTAATGTATGTAATATAATGTAATATTTGGTCCTATAATTACAAATATTACAAATTAAATTGGATGAACTGTCCATTCATGAAGAGTTTCAAATGATTTGATATAATGTATGCAACATATTTTTTTTATTATTATTGTTTTCTTTTGTTTTTTTGCTTGCATTCAAAGCAGTAGCTAAAGCTGGCATAACTGTAACAGCAGACAGCAGCTGGCAGGCCAAGCAGGAGGCCGGTGCTTCTACCTCTCTTACCCTCTCTTAAGAGTGGAAAATACTCTCATTTATCTTCTTTTGAGCTAGAGGAGTGAAACAAACAGTGGTGGATGAAGAAAAGAGGGGAACACCAACACAAGTTAGTCTCAAAGACACAGGTCACTTATATTCAAGTATGATATAAGGTTTCCAAAGTCAAAATCTCAGATTGACTTTGTTAACACATTTGACTCTTTCCTAAAATGAAATATTAAGCGAATAGAAGAAACACTATTGACCAATGGCAGCCCATGTTAGTTGACAGAATGGAAGTGTTTGGGGAATGAAGGGATCATGCATCATGCACAGGGCACAGGGCTCAGGGCTCAGGAGGCAGACTGGGCCTGGACAACCTTATCATAGGGACAGGGCTAGCAGTTGGCGTCGTCACAGAGGTTGGCTTCACAGAAGAACCGTGAGCCGCGTTTAGCAGTGCGGGCTGTGAAGGGCACGCTCTTCAGGACTGGGAGGAGGGGGAGGAGAAAACAATGCATTTAGGATTTACAGCCCATAAGTAAGGTAAGGATTATGTGATCATAGATTTACACCTTTTTAGCCTAATATGCAACACTATAAGATAATAAACTGAAACTTAGATCTGGGAGTCTGGGTACTGGGACAGCCTCCACAGTTTATTCACATGTCTTTATTTCCTCTTTATGCAAAACTATGTTTAGGTATATTCAGGTATGATTTAAAATACTACTTGACACTGTAGCATAAAAGTATACATTGTACTTGCTGTACTGTATGCAGTAAAGTAGGTATTTGGTTACATGACTGGCTATACATTGCAGCTGTGATCCGTTATGGAATAACTAATGAGTGCTGTTCTCCAGATGTGCTGGAGTCTGGACCACATAGCACAAGGTGCACTGCAGCGGAGCAGAGCAGTGAATGACCACAGTCATCTTGGGTCTGTGCCGCATGGAGCTCTTGTTCCCCGCTCGAGGCCTGTGAAAGGTCCTGCCTGTCCCACCTGTGATGATATCCTCTATTGTGCCGTCTTTCCCCTCATAAACTGGTCGGTGGTCTTTTGCCTGGCGCTTTCGCAGCTCGGCGATGAGCTCCTGCTGCTGATGCCGCTTCTTCTGAGCCTGGACCTGCACCAGCAGAGGGCACTCATTCATTCACAACAACCTGTCTCTGAAGAGGTCCTGAGCACCTCATGTTTATGTGATCTCTTCCTGCTGTACCTTGGGGTCTTGCTCTTTACCCTCCTGAGCAAGTAACTTCTCCCGCATGGCTTGTTCCTGCTTTTTTTTTTGTTCGTTCTGCTCCATTGCATCCTGCCAGGAAAGGTTACTCTGTCAGTGTAGCTCTAAAAAGGGAATTTCACCGAACAAATAACATCCAAACAGCATCTTCTAGAAATCGACTAATTTCCATGACCCCTCTTGCACATTACAATATAAGATTAAATGTCTAATCTGGACATTTATTTCAGCAGGTCGCATAAATCCTGAGTGAGAACAATCTAAGGAAACGTGCAGTGTGTCAGGGCGGGGTGGAGGCAGTCCTGGGGCAGAGACCAGTCTAAACACCACAGCTGCTCCACCGTCACACGCAGCTGGCCCTTCCTGTTATTTGGCCGCCGACTATGACCACGTCCTGCTTTGCCCTGCTATGCTCCAAATGACATACACAAGTTGCAAAGACACGCACTTCTGTAACAACTAAAAAGTGAAGTTGGAATGATGTATGAGATTGAGTCCTCACCTTGTACGCTTTGATAAACCGCACAAACACGGGGAAAAACACAGAGGGTGGAGTCGTCTTGGCACTCTCTCCAAAGTAGTTTACCACATTGTTGAAGGCTTCCTAGAATAGTGCAGAAGACAGGGTCAGGGTGGAATCCAGTTTGTAAATACTGTCAGTTCAGATATTTTTTTTAACCTTACTTTATTACAGATTACAGTACTGCAGCAAAGGTAACTCCTTGCCCGTGTAAAATTAAGAGACTAAAATCTCTAAACTCTTGCATCAAAGAACAAGTGTAAAATCTCTATCTTGAACAAACATAAAGAAGTATTTAAAAAATGACATTTGGCAAAATAAGAGGCAAGTAGTTATATGTTATAGTTATATGTTAGCATCTGTACAAGTTAGCAGCAGTATGTTTACATCTGTACATAATGGTAATAATAATAATAATAATAATCGGTTTTATATAGCGCTTTCAAAAACTCAAAGACGCTTCACAATTCAGGACACACACACACGCACGTTTAGACAGACACACAAAACTAAAAATCAAAAGCAGGAAAGAAGAGTCCAAAGTTGAAACTAAGAGAGAGATATGCTTGGAGGAAGAGGTGAGTTTTTAGCTGGTTTTTGAAGGAGTTTAGTGAGTCCGAGTTTCTGAGATGAGGGAGGAGAGAGTTCCAGAGAGTGGGAGCAGAGATGGCGAAAGCTCGGTCACCCAAGGTTCAGTGCTTGGATTTGACAGTGGGACATGTTAGCAGCAGTATGTTAGCATCTGTACATTGGCAGCACAGAGGTAAATTATTATATTATAAAGTTGTGTGCATTTGTAAGAGATTATGGAGGCGTTTATAATCTGAGACGGTTTCAAATACCTCCGCTGTCTTGGCATCCTTCTGCAACTTGTCCAGCTGCGTGTCACTGGCCTGGAGAAATCCTTTGAGGATGGGGTGATCATGGAGACTGCACTCTCTTCGTATAAGATCCATGCCTTTCCCTAACTCCCGGACATCAAGCAGAACATTCTCCAAGGAAACTAGAGAAGAAAAGCATCAGGTAACCATGGGAACGGAAGGTGTAATTGTCTTTGTGTCGCTGTCAATCATACCTGCTGCTGCTTTATCAACATAATGCAGCTCGTTGTAGAAATTTGACAGTTCTGGATACTTTTCCTTCACAATGAGTGCAATGTAGTGGAGCAATGTCATTTTTCTATCGGTAGACTTAGTGTCCAATAGCTGTGAAAGAGCAGTGACATTTGATCCAGTTAGTGAACGCTATACTGTACACAGATATGCAGGGTGTCGCTTTTGTGCATCTTTAAAGTTTAAAAAAATGGCTGCCCCAGATTTAGCACCATGCTACTTTCCATCTGTAGTCCTTGACAATTCAATTTAATATGATATAACTTGCATATGAATATACAGTTCCAATAAAACGTGTAGGTTACAAAACTTACATATTAAAATACAGTTATAAAAGTGGGAGATACCAGCATACATTAACCCTTTAACATTCACTTCTTGAAGAAAGGTATATATTATTCATTTTTTCTGATGTTTTTAGGAAGAACACAAATCATGTTTTCATGGTTTTTTTCCGAACCCCTATTTCTTATTTTTAGGTCTTTACCAAATGGTTGAGATACAGTTTTATGGGAAAACTTAGGTAGATTTCAGTTCCAAGCTTCAGGTAGATAAAGTGACTCAAAAAGTGATCAACAAAAGGGTTAAGATACTGTTCAATAAAAAGTTACCAACAGAAGTCACAATATCTTGCGCCATTTAGCAGCAAATACTCACCAGATCTAAGCTCTGCAATTTGAAACCATAAACACTGCCTCGTTTACTGCTGTTCATGTAATTTCCCAAGGCCAGGATTATCTGTTGTATACAAACATATAGAACCATAAGCAGGCAGAAAGATTACAAAGCAAATGCAATGCTCATACCTCAAGCATTCTTTTCAACTTAGGCGCTGATTTGACTGAGCCTGAAGAAGCAATGATTGCATTCAACTGTGGCGTGAGCAGACTGACATTGTCTGCAAAGTTCCCGACAAAAGTGATGATGTTCATTCTCTGCGTGAGCCTCTCGATCTTGCTGAACAAAAGCATGAAGCGGTCCTCCTCTGCCAGCTGGTCCAGTGGCCTTCTCTCCCGTTCGTACTGTCGCAATACTTTGACCTCTGCCTCCGTGGGCAGGAAGCGCATCAGACACTCTACAAAGTCCACCGGCAACGCCTTTAGGTCAAATCTGAGCAAGCAAAATGAAGGTTAGGAGCAGGTTTTTACAGGTTTTTAATTTTCACTTAATCAAGACGCACTTCTCAATTGCTTTACAAATCTCCTCCGTCGTCTTGTTGGCCTTTCGTAAAGTGATGGCGAGGTTTTTGGAGCGGTTTGCATCCAACAGTGTGATTTTGTTTTGGGCCTTTTGGGCTACTTTACTCTTAGTGCAAGACAGATCCACAACAGGACCCTGAGCTCTTGTTTTGAAAATCTCCTCAAACCTCTCCAGGTCCAGCTCCTAAACAAAAAAACACAGTGTAGGATTCTGCTAGGACTCAGTGAAGAGAAAGACTTTGCGTTTGTTTCACCTCCAGCACACGCTCATCGTCGATCTCATTGAAGACTGTGCCGTTGATTTGGTTTGGTTTCAGGGCAGTCCAGTTAAACACAGGGAGGCGGAACTTTGTTTTTATGGGTTTCTTTATCTTGATTGCTTTGGAAAATATGAATATATTCATCAATACTCATGTGACAACATTATATTTGCTTTTCATGTATTCCAACTTACCTGATAAACCAGTACTGAAAATGACAGAAGGAGAAGTTCCAGGTAGAGGAGGCGCAAGAGGTGGAGGTGGTGGAGGAGGAGGAACTGGAGCACAAGGTCCTGGAAGTGACAAAGATACACTTTAAAACAAGAGAACAGAGAGGTGTTTGTGCGTGTGTGTGTGTGTGTGTGTGTGTGTGTGTGTGTGTGTGTGTGCGTGGTGTGTGTGTGTGGTGTGTGTGTGTGTGTGTGTGTGTGTGTGGTGTGAGTGGTGTGTGTGTGTGTGGTGTGTGTGTGTGTGCGTGGTGTGTGTGGTGTGTGTGTATTTGTGTGTGTGTGCGGCTTTTTTGACACAGGAAACTGTGTATTTCCTTTTCCCGTCTAAAAGGCCCGGTGATGACCCACCGCATTCAAAGCTAATATTAACAAAGTCGAGGATGTGAAACGGGCGTCATTAGAAGGTACCGTGTGTATCAACAGTGTGACATCATCAGACTGATAGAAAGACTCAAGTGCTTTACCTGCTGCGGAGGGCAGTGGAGGAGGGGGAGGTGGAGGAGGTGGTGGTGGAGGAGGAGCCTCGCTGGCTGGAGGTAGACCGAGGTCTGGACCTCCTGCTTCAGTCAGAGTCGCTGTGGAGCCCAGAGACAGCTGCCCGATGTTTCCCAGAGGAACCGGTCCTACCCCCAGAGGCTCTATGGAGATGTCTCCATCAGGTTTCTTGTGCAGGCGGATGGTGCCCTGCTGCTCCAGCTCCAGCAGACGCCTCTCGATGTTGAAGTGTCTTTGGAAGGCCGCATCCTTCTCCTTGATGACTCTCCTCAGGGTAGTGACCTGAGTGTTGGAGAACTCATATGTCTCCTGCACAGTCACCAGGGGGCAATAAAGAGCAAAAGACAAAGACAGAAAAAGTTAAAGAAACATCCTGTTTCCTACTGACCTTATTTGCAATCACAGCAATTTAACAAAACAGTGGAACCTGATCTGAGAGACATGAATGTAAAGCGGACAAACAATAGCTACATATGAAAACTCACCCGCACTGCCTGGAGCTCCTTATCCTTTAGAATAAGAACTTTCTCCAGGTCCGCTACCTTCATCATTGTCTCATTCTCCACCTCCAGCAGCTTCTCTGTCACCTGCAAACAAGATACAGGAGAGATGAGTTTTCTCATATCGATCTGCAGGCATCTCTCTTCACTGCACTCTCACTCTCTCCTCAGAATCATCAGTACGAAATAGGATATGATGAACATGACACAGCATAACAGTAAGACAGTGCTTAGGAAGATATAAAACATGTATAAATTCATGTTAAAAGGAATTCACATGAATTCCTGGCCTCCTCCTCCTTCATTCCTGAGTCTTGAGAAAGAAGTTTGTTTTTGAAATTCTTCAGATGATGTCAGGCCTGCCTACGACCTCTTCATGTGAAGCATTTCTATGCAAAACTGTGTGGGAGGGGAACTCCCAGAAGGAATAATGTAAACCTTGTTTTTATATTTCTATCACAATTGTTGCAAAACAATAGGTTGAATATTTAGCAGAGAACACCACAGTGAATACTTGGGACAATACTGTAGTATGTAGGAGGAAAAGCAGAGATATTACGTTACAGAAACTGTAACCAGCGCAGGTGCAGGGGGTGGTTCTTACATGAGACAGGTGCTCCTCCAGTTCCTCCACTTTTTCCAGAGCTGCATTCTTGGTCTCTGCATCTTCCAGAAGACCTCCTACATCAAACACATTATCCAGGTAGGCCTGGATCTGCACAGACAGCTTGTCACTCTCCGTGTGTTTACATTTCTGCAAAAAGATTAGCAGACATGTTTGTTTCATTCACAGAGAGCCCTTTAAGAGACTGATTCTGGATAAGTTCATACCTCTAAGTAATCATCCAGCCCTAATTTAGTGAATTCAAACTGCAGATGGACCCTGAAGTTCATGTCCTCCACAGAGTGGACCACAATGTTGATGAACTGCATACATGCAACCTTACAAATACACAAAACATTACACATACACGTTTATATGAACCATACGATTATTTAGACTTTCAATGTAATATACTCACCATGAAGTCAATGTTTCCCTCCTCTCCACGGAAATAATCCATCAGTCGCTCAAACCGATGCTTTTCCTTACACACCTACAATGTATGTTATTGGTAAATTATAGGCATCAGGCATTTAATTTAATAATAAAAGCAAAGAAAAGAAAATAATCTAAACATTCAACTTCATATGCTTTTTTTTTCCTCTTTAAAAATCAAACAGTGAGGCCTTGTTTGGATCATTGGGCTGAATAGTGTTTCACTATTATGTCTCTCAAGGCAATTGCCTGGTTCCAGCGTGACAGAATATTGGTGCTTCACTGGTTTCTATAAGGCCCTTGATCCTGATCCCAGTCCAGGGTTGTCTCACATCTGGAGTCCTAATGAGTACAATTAAGACCACTGCAGGGCCCCAGCTTCAGACAAACTGAGCTTTAATCCCACAAATTACTTTACATTTCAAGTCTATAATAAAAGGATTTCAGCACCCTACAACTTCAGTGGCTAATGACAATACTAATAAACTTAACTAAACATTTGAAGTTGTCATTAAATGATTATAAGAAATACCTCTTTAAAGTTGTCGAATGCAGAAAGAATAATTTCATGTCCGCCTCGAACCAGACACACAGCAGCCAACAGTTCAAGGACCAAAGCTTTAGTTCTGAAAGAGAAAAAGCCTCATCAGTACATTGTTTCTGTACTATTAGTGAATTATATACCTGGATAGCTGTGAGATAGCTCTTGATGTAAGTAAGTAAGTAAGTCATCTTTATCTATATAGCGCCTTTCAATTACAATTGTGGGCATTTTTCTCCCACTCCACACAGAGATGGGAGTGAATCTTTTCTTTAAAATCAAAAATACAAGAAAAAAAATGGTTTGACTGAATTGAAATCCTTGTAGTGAGCTGCTTTTAAACGAGGTAATCAAAATGGTGTGTATCTTTAATCCTCCTCATTCATTATGAAGTGATCAGCGCCTGTGGTTTACCGCTAATCTCTCCTCAGTAAACATTCCTCTAACAGCCTCAAACACTCGCCTCTGATCCCAGGGAGACAGAGAAGCATATCATATGAACTGGCTGCAGGGTTCTCCCATTGTTTGACCCAACCCAGTGCAAGTGAAGAGCGGGCCCTGCGCAGTTATTACCTTGAGTTCTTGTTGTTCATGCTCAGAGCAATTTCATTGACTGCATGTGCGTGTGACATCACCATATTGAAGCCATACTGAGAAAACACAACAGGATGTGGTTAAAAAGACTTAGCGCCACATTAGATTATAGTCATGGAACACTATGCATAGACAAAATGTAAGTAAGAAAGTAATGTTTATTAATATAGTGTATTTTACAGATCAAGTTCACCAAAAACGAAAAATACAATCATTTCAGATTTTAGACTTTTTTCCATTCTCTCCAAACTACCACATCAAATTCCCCAACCAACTCCATTCATTCATTCACTCATTCATTACATTCAAACCAACATGTTTTTTGTTGGGGTTTTTTAAGGGAAATCGGAGCACCTGGAGGAAACCTGTGAAACACAATCTCTAACCTCTGTGCCACCGACATGTATTTAAGCTGATTTTTCAAATGAATTACTCAGTTTGACGTGATAATTGAGGAATGCATCACTCCACGATACAACGACACCTCAAGAATAATGTGTTGTATTTGTGGATCAAGTTTTTAATACCATGTGGTTTGTACAGGTCTGTTAAATGTGATCCAATTGAAGAGAATGTAACAAGGAGTATCTTATAGTGGTTTCAACAGTAGTTTTGGTGACAATGGTGTCTAGTTTATCAATTGTGAACTCTAATGGCAAAAAAAGTGCATGAGATCAGTTCCACTTCCTCATTGAAATGTTTTATAGACTATGTTAACATGACTGATTTATTTTACACAAGCTTTTATTCTAGTGAATTAATGTGTCTTTTTATTTTTTTCATTGTGGGGCACTTTGAATTGCCTTGTGTAAAAGAAAGAAATTGTGCTATAGAAAAAAACTTTGATTTGATATTTGTTTGTGTTTGAGCGAAACATTGAGTGGCTTTGATACCTGGTAGTTCATGATGGCTCGTAAACACATGATGCACACGTGCACGTCGTCCTTTTGGCTCACGAGGCGCGAGTTCTTGATGGTTCTGCTGTTTGAAACGGAGCCATAACTGCAACACATGGACCGGGTTAATGTCTCATGATGAAGTATGGACCGGAGACTTCTTCAGCTTCTCCTTCTCCCTGATTTATGTCTGTGACGTTGAGTTTGAAAATGAGTGTTTCCGAAATGTGACTCGGAAAGTTGCAAGAGAAAGAGGAAAGAATGAGGCCTGACAGAAGTTGGTTTTTGAGGTTACAGATGCATTGTGGGAAATGAGTGGCTTCTGCTGCTGTCAACAGAACCAGGTCTGAGCGGACGCCCACATGCAGTTGTGTTGCAGCACAGTCATAAGTGGATTTAAAAGTGGTTTAATGGTCGCATGTGACAGTGACCTAAAGGAACTTTTATCAGCAGCATGCATTAAATTCCAACACGTTGTAGATAATAATGGATTAACTATGATCTGCTACATTTCCATAAATTAGGCATGGTGTACATTACTAACACAGCCACAATGACAGAATACTCTTCTCTTTTGTTGGGGGCGACAGTGACTCAGTTGGTAGAGCATTGAAGGTCGCGGGTTCAAGCCGACTGCTGTCGTTGTGTCCTTGGGCAAGACATTTAACCTTACTTTGACTGAAGCCCCTGATGGAAGATCAAGGCTCCTGTGGACTCACCACCTGCAGGAGGATCAGTGAGGGGCTGGTGCTCTGTGTGCTGGGTGCAGATCTGACTGCCATCCAGAAATGGATTAAGGGGAAGAAAATGGATGGATGGATGTTGGGAAACATTTGTATAGAAAGCAGCAATCTGGATACATTGGCACCTATTTGAAATCCTTTGAGCGACTATTGATTTTTTAGTTTAGTTTATTTGTTATTTGGTTGGGACAGTGCATGTAAATGAGCACATCACTTCAGATTGTAGCCTTGGGCTAATTTCCATCTGTTGTCCCACAGTCTCACTCACAACCACACACTCATTCACTCTGTACTATTGTACATAGTTTTAGTGGTAGGGGAAACCGGAGCACCCGGAGGGAACCTACACAAACAAAGGGAGAACATATAAACTCCACTCAGAAAGGCCCTGCTCCAACCGGGATTCGAACCCAGGACCTCCTTGCTGAGTAGCAAGAGCGCTATTCACTCAGCCACTGTGTCGCTGGGATGAACATAAATACATTGAAATTGATATGAATTACTTAGGAGCACCTATCTGTCTTTCCATCAAACAAAATGAGTTAAAGTTAAAAATACTTGGTTGGAGTTTGATTTGAAATTCTCAGCTGCTCATCAGCAACCCCCCAATTTATTTTGATCATACATTGTAATCATTATAAACATAAACTGTTGAAACTACATAATTGGAGAAAATCAGTAAAAATAGAAACCTTTTGATCGTCATCGCCAAGACTCATTTCGCAGTAACTTGTGTTGCGCATATAAAAGGGATAACAAGAGTCAGTATTGTCCAACATAAAGCTGCACCTCACAGCTGGCTTTCATCTCTCACATCTGGAGCAAAAGGATCCCGAGCAAAAGGATCCCGAGCAAAAGGTCGCAGACTTCCATTTCTATCTGTGAAGGAGCTCGGGTCTTTGATTGGATTTATACAGAGAGAGTGGCTTAAGTTCAGGAGTCAAGACAGGGGCCATTACTTTTATACCAGATGAGTAATTGCACAAAATACTCATGGCAAATGGAAAGCATACCAGTTATTGAAAAAAATCAAATCATGCAAGTTCAGCAGAGGCATGAGGAGGGGTACAAGCAGGACAAAGCTTTGCAAATACGTACCGAAGGACAGACTGGCGGGCCGAGCGCACCAAAGTGTTGCAAAAGGGTTGAGCCATTGCATTGTGCAGGTCCTCAATTGACCTGCTCCATGATCTAGACTTGTCCAAAATGCCATCATCCCCACCATTCTCCAGCCCTTCAAAATCCAACCTGCATGTCCACAAAGAGGGAAAGGCAACACAGACGCACCGGCAGAGAGGAGATAGGCCAGAAAGGAAAAGTTAGTTGGCAGCTTTTCATTCAATTGTCTTCAAGCTGCAGCACAATGCAAAGCGGAGGTTTTCATTGCAGACTGAAAACATCTGCACCGCGTCACACCAAATTTTTTATACATTACTGAACAAAAGAACAACAAAAGAAAAGCCCCAGAGCACATCCATTTCAATGCACAAGCAGAATATTAGCCCAATGGACGACCGACTGCTGTGTGTAAACGCCATCCACACGTCCTCACAGGAAAGGCAGGGCGGCACTCTTAAAATATGTATGCATGGGTTTGGACAGAGACACTCACATGACAGCGCACTGGGCGAAGGAAAGGTACTCCACCAGGATGTCCAGGCCTCGGTTCTCATCATTGAGGAACTCCCTGACCCACCTGCGCACAAGCGGAGACACATTTATGAGAAGGAAATGCACACTCGTTGCACCAAGGATATTTTATTGGTGGAATTAGGCACATTTTCTGTTCTGTTACAAAACCAGTTCATTTATAGCACTGTCATTCACAAGGCCACTCAAAGTGTTTAAAAAACAAGGACATTAAAATCATAAATAATAATAAGAGTGTGGATAAAATCCTTGAGAAAGGGAAAGGACATCGAGAGAGTGGACTCTTACAAGTAAGTAAGTAAGTAATAAGTAATAACTAACTAACTAACCCTAACCCTCTTCAAAAAGGAACAGAGCCGGCTCTACCTGCTGAGGAGGCTCAGGTCTTTTGGAGTGCAGGGGCCACTCCTGAAGACCTTCTATGACTCTGTGGTGGCATCAGCCTCTTGTACGGTGTGGTCTGCTGGAACAGCAGCATCACAGAGAGGGACAGGAAGAAGCTGGACAAGCTCATCAGGAAGTCCAGCTCAGTCCTGGGCTGTTCCCTGGACACAGTGCAGCAGGTGGGGGACAGGAGGGTCCTGAGCAAACTAACATCTATGCTGGACCATGACTGTCACCCCCTGCAGGACACTCTCTCTGCTCTGGAGAGCAGCTTCAGTGACAGACTAACTCACCCTCGCTGTGTGAAGGAGAGGTTCCGTAGGTCTTTCCTTCCTGCTGCTGTCAGACTGTACAATAAGAACTGCTGAGCCTGTACATTTCATTCATCTGTAATTAAGTACATTCTTAAATCATGTGCAATGTGCAATACTGCAACTTCAGAATGTCACAAAACAATGTCACTTTACCTCATGTCACTTTACTTATATACTTTATCCTGCACTATTTAACTGTACAGTATATAACTGCACTACTACATATATATTTTTTGACTGGTATTGAAGCATTTTCAGCATCTACAGCTAGTTATGTTAGCTAAGAAACATAGCTACTACTTATTTGTATATATTATGTGTGCTCCCTGTGTGCTCTTACTACTGTCCTATATGTGCGCTGCAACATTGAAATTTCCCCACTGTGGGACGAATAAAGGAATTCTTACTCTTACTCTTCTTACTTACTCTTACACAGCTAAACAGGATTGTTTTTATCCTGAATTTGAACATTTTAGAGTAGAGGCCTGTCTCATATTTTCAAGAAGGTTGTTTCAGATGTATACATTAATATAACCATAACCAGGAATATTTATCTATACAAAAAAGTATAATTGTATTTTCCATTTTAGTGGTTTTTTGTGTACATGACAAATCAGTTTGCTCCAATGTTGTCCTTAATGTAGGGCGACAGTAGCTCAGTTGGTAGAGCATTGGCCTTAAGGCCAGAAGGTCGTGGGTTCAATTCCCACCTCTACATCTTCTCCACCGACTCTCACTGATTACTGCTGTCGTTGTGTCCTTGGGCAAGACACTTAACCCCACTTTGCCCAAAGCCCCCACTGAAAGATCAAGGCTCTGCTCACAGTCAGAGAGCAGCCGTCCTCCTGTGGACTCACCACCTGCAGAGGGTCAGTGAGGGGCTGGTGCTATGAGACTTGGGTGGCATCTCTGACTGCCACCCCCTGACCCAGAGATGGATTAAAGGGTAGAAAATGGATGGATACCCCTTAATGTGTTGATAACTTGTTGTTGTGGGATGGGAACTAGTAGAGTTGATTTCATTCAAGATCAGCAAATCAACGCTCCGAATGCAGTTGCAACTCAGAAAATTAGAAAAAAAGTTTAAAAGACCATTTGCTTCTGTAATTAAACTTAAGGGGCGACAGTGGCTCAGTTGGTATTAGAATATTCTGAAAACCATTATCATAATGATTCAAACAAACATGCCTATTTTTGTTTTTCCATTATAAGTTTATCATCTTAAAAATAGAAATAAATGAACTTTTAAACAATATTCAAAATATCTGAGTTTCACCTCTGGGTTAGGCAGAATAAGTTTCAAACTTCAGTTCTTTCAGTCAGAATTTTTTTGCGGTTGACTGGAGAATAAATAAACTGAACTAGCTAACTTTCTGGTCTTGGTGCACGTCTAACCGTCTTAGCTCAACTAAAACTCTCCCTATAGTGCATCATTTTAGCCGCACGCCAGATAAGAGCTACAGTCGGGTGTGTGGAGACACGCACATCCGACATGACGAGAATTACAGGAGAACAAAATGTGAAAATAAAAATAAAAAGGTTAACAACTCAAAAGCTGCCTTAAGTATTGTATGTACTTTCCTTTGATACACAATAAATACAATGATAGCAGCCTTTGAGTTGTGCAAACCTTTTTTTTGCATTTTCACATGAGAGCCACCAGCCATGACTTGGGGAATGTGAATTTTCCACATCACTTGTAAATAGGTTTGTAAATACGTAAGTTTGATTCAGAGTGCTTTTGTACCCACAATATAATCACAAAGTGCCCATACAATTGTTAAAGAAATATATTTTTTTGCACAGGAGGTTTGGGGCCAGCACATCAGGTTTATGTTACCATTGGCTTTATTTGTAGATGTTTTAAATGATGAGATTAATGGCGTGAAGTAAAACAAAATGTGTGGTCCTGTCTGTGCGAGGGCTTCACATCTGACATAGGTTTTGTCTAAATCTATGAAAACTCAGAACAGAAGTGTAATAAGCTGCATTTGGCTTTTGGGGCAACATGGCAAGGAGGTTGTCTTTTTTGTCTTTGGAGCAGTGTTTAAATTTTCCCTCTTGTTCAAATCCTTTACTTAGGAGCAGAAACATCTCTAAACAAAGAAATTCCCATTGCAACGGTTGAAAGAATGCAGAGTAATGTATGATTAGTAGTGCTCAAGTGCTCACAGTCAATATCCCCCTTTGCAAACTCATTCTCTTCTTTCACTTCTAGTCGAACAAAATTGGGGAAAAAGGTTCTCAAAATAGTAACAGACTTGGTGCAAGCAAATCAGACAGGAAAGTAATCAGGGGCTCAAATCAGGAGGCACAGACAGGAGAGGGGTGGACAAAGAACTGCAACAGGAGAGGAGAGAGAGGGGGGCTTTCCGGTCTCCCACCCCCACATCGGCCTGCGGAGCTCTGCTTTCTGCTGCCTGCAATGCTTCACTTTCCCCCCTAAATTTCCCCAACTGGTTGCTATTTCAGATTTCTTGGCAACCCTGGCCCCAGAAATAACATGGCAGAAAGGACCAAGGCCTACAGTAAAGCAGCATCTGTTGCTCTTGTTGCTCTTAATGCTCTCATTTTTAGAACTTTGGGAGAATAGTATAGCTCTGTGCATGGTTTTTGTTTTTAGATCAGAATCAGAATCCTTTGTAGTTGTAGTAGGAGAAGTAATAGTAATTGCAGTTGTAGAAGTAGCAGTAGTTGTGGTAGTAATTTTAGTTGTAGTAGTAGTATAATTATAATGATAATTATTTGCTATTTAATAGTATTTTATTTATTTCCCAGTATTTACTTGAATAATACTATAAAGTTAACATGAAAAGTTATTAGTTAACTTCATTAGTACTTCATTTTATCAACTTTTTAGATCAAGACTGGATCAAACAAGGGGCCGGTGCTATGAGACTTGGGTGGCATCTCTGATTGCCACCCCCCTGACCCAGAAATGGACTAAAGGGTAGAAAATGGATGGATGGATGGATCAAACTTGTCAAAATGAATAAAACAGGTGGTGTTTTGTTGCTATAGAAAGGAGCAGATACATTATATACATGGGAACTTGTATCTTAACTCATTTGATGCCTGAATGTTTTCAGTTAAGTCAAACAAACAATCAGCGGAGCCCGAAACTTTTTGAGAGATAGAGTAAATCAGTAACAGAAAAAAATCAATAGCAAAATAAGAAAGAAAAGGGAAACATTTGAAAGCCAAGTTTCTGTGTAGAAAGTTTGGATTATACAGTTCATTACAAATATGCTGCTCGATGTTAAATGTAGACTACAAGTGAATGTTTTGACACTGCTTTCCTCAGTTCCACATTTTGCTTCTCTCTGCTGTGGTAGAAATCGAAGGATGGGACAAAACTTCTGTCTAGAAAGTTTGTGACTGAGCGTTTTTGGATCCAGCTTGTGTGTATGGCGGCTTCCTGTCCTTCTGGCCTCCACAACAAAGCTTCCTGCTCACTGTTCGGGGGATGTGTTCCGCAGCACAATGGCTTCCATCTGGACCCTGTGAGGTGGAGCTGGCACCACACAACAATAGAGGAACACTGGGCACCAAATGTGTCCCAGCGGCAGCAGAAAAGGTGAAGAAGGGGAGGTTTGTTACACATAAAACAGTGGCAGGTTTGGCCTATATCTACCTATTGTAATCAATATAAGTCAGGATTAGTCGTTGTTTACAGCAGAGTTGAGTTTGGAAGAAGAAATGCTCTTTTGGAATAACTTTCACTATTTGTCTTACTGTAGTATAGAGGCTTCTTATTCTTGTAAAACAAGTTAGGGATACATTTGATGTAAACAAATCTGGGGCTATATTAAATATACTTTATAATGTTACCATATTGCACAACCATCAGATCTTACCCTTGGTTTCTGTTTCAAATAAAAAAACATGGCACAGTTAGTCATAGAGGGAGTTCTTAAAGGGACATTGTATACATTTTCTGATGGGGGGCCGCTACCTTTTTGTTTCCATGGAAGTAGTTATTTTCTTCAAATGGACCTCAGTATGATATAATACTTTCTGCGTTTTAAAAACCCAGATTCCTGGATTGAGTCTCCTCTCCATGGATTTGACCAGTGACTAAGTCTTGAAAAGTGTCTCCTATATAAATAGAATCATTTAATGCCGTTCTGTGGAAAATTCCAGGCAAAACGACAGCATTCAGATGGAACCGAGCAAAAAGTGGACCCTTCGCCAGGAAAGTTGTGTAATACACCTTTAAAGCTGGAGTACCTTATTTATTTTGTGTCCAAATCAGGCCAGAGCATGCCTGTCTTATTAGAAAAAATGTTTTGAATCCTTTGAATACTTGAAATAAAGTGCCCTGTGAGTCACTATTTGACACTTTGGGCTGAAAGCTGATTGGCTGTGCAAGAGTGGTCCTCCCTTTTTCACACTTCTGTCTAAAAAAGTGGATCTAAAGATATAACATTGACCCAAAATACATATGAAAACTATGGAACTATAAACAAGACCAATGGAATTTATGACACGGTTACATTTGTTGTTGTTTTAAAGATAGGTACCACAGCTTTAATGACAGTAGTTGGACTGCAGTTAATCATGTTTGTAGTAGATCATCATTTATCCCTTTTCATTTTTCTGAAAGAACACTTGTTATATAAATACCCAATGTGGTTTGTCCTGAGCGATATCTCCAGCTCCCTCAGGACTTTGGTCGACTCCTGGACTCGCCTCCGAAACTTCTGCACAGTTCAACACAGAGCAGCAGCGGTAAAGTTATTGTCCAGATGTTCTTTGGGGAGACATTGAATTCTAAACTTCCCATACCTTTCGTGTGACGCCAGGGTCTAAGTATCCTCGAAGTTTCTGGATGTAGGTGTGAGGGGGATTTTTGACTTGAAATCTCTCCTAATGCACAAATCAAGATGGCAGAATAAACACATACATTATTGATAACAGGACAATGTACAGTAGCTAATATAGGAAAAGGGCTGTGTGAACTTGTGACAGTGATAGTGATAAGAGTTGCACTGTCACTCTTCCTAATCATTTCTATCTTCATAGATAATAAAATGATGATGCAAATTGTGTGTGAACAAAAGATAAATGCACATGAATTATCTAAGTATATCTCACACCAAATTGGGTTCATAACAATATCCATGAATGCTGTAAAAAAGAGACTGACTTCAATGTTTAACACATTATTTATTAAGTCCATTGCCTGCCATAGTTTGTGTGTCTGGGTACATTCACTGTGATTATTGTTATTACCTGGTCACAGATTAGATCCCACTTCTTTTCATTGTCGTACTGTCGAAGGAGGCGGGCTTTATCAGGAGGCAAGTTCATAGAATTCTGAAACACACAAATGTATTTCATCATGACACATTCTGATTCAATCAATCAATCAATCAAAGTTTATTTGTAGAGCGCCTTTCATACACAGGGCAACACAAAGCGCTTCACAGTCCACATCACAAATCATCACATAAAACAAACACCAGAATCACAATTAAAACATTAAAATCACACAAAAGATTAAAACACAATTAAAACAGTAAAATCACACAAAAGAATAAAACCATTAAAACTTTCAAAATTACACAAGAAATTTAAAAAAAATAAATAAATGACAGCAGTGCATTAAAAATGGAGATAAAATCCTTCAGTTATATGCACAGGCAAACAGAACAGTCTTTAACCTGGATTTGAACATTGACAGAGTAGACGCCTCCCTCACATTTTCAGGGAGATTGTTCCAGATCTTAGCTGCATGGATCTGAAACGCAGCCTCCCCATGTTTGGTTCTCACTCTGGGCACCAGCAGGAGGCCAGTCCCTGTGCTCCTCAGAGTCCGGGCCGGTTCATATGACACCAACATGTCACTAATGTATTCTGGTGCAAGGCCATGGAGAGACTTGTACACAAGCAGAGCCGTTTTAAAATCTATTCTTTGAGCCACAGGAAGCCAGTGCAGAGACCTGAGGACCGGACTAATATGGTCATACTTCCTGGTTCCTGTCAGGACTCTAGCTGCTGCATTTTGGATGTACTGCAGCTGCTTACAGGTCTGTTTGGACAGCCCTATAAGCAGGCCATTGCAGTAGTCTAGCCTGCTGGAGACAAATGCATGGACAAGAATCTCCAAGTCTGCCCTGGACACTATATTTCTAACTTTGGCAATGTTCTTCAGATGGTAAAAAGCTGTTGATGTTATTGATTTTATGTGGCTATTGAAATTTAGGTCTGAGTCCAGTATTACCCCCAAATTTCTGACCTTGTCTGAAGGAAGTAGGGAGAGAGACTGAAGTTGACAAATGACGCCCTCTCTTTGTTTCTGGGGACCAAAGACAATGATTTCGGTTTTGTCTGCATTTAGCTGGAGGAAATTATTTTGCATCCAGTCACTGATCTGTTGGATACAGTGAAGGAGCAAATCCAGTGGTCCATGTTCTCCTGCAGTCAGTGAGACATAGATCTGAGTGTCGTCAGCGTAATTGTGGTAGGACACTTTGTTTCTTTGTATTAACTGACCTAACGGCAGCATGTAGAGATTAAATAGGAGAGGTCCCAGGATCGACCCCTGTGGTACACCACAGGTCAGGGCCACATCATCTGAGACGCAGTCTCCAATCTCCACAGAGTACTTCCTATCCTCCAGGTAAGACCTAAACCAGTCTAGGGCTGTGCCAGTGACACCAACCCAGTCCTCCAGTCTCTGCATGAGGATCTCATGGTCGACAGTGTCGAACGCGGCACTAAGATCTAACATGACCAAAACTGTGACTTTACCTGCATCAGTGTGAAGTCGAATGTCGTTTGTTACCTTCACTAGAGCGGTCTCAGTGCTGTGGTGGGGTCTAAACCCAGACTGGAACATATCAAAAGAATTATTCATTGTTAAAAATTCAGTAAGTTGTTGGGAGGCCACTTTTTCAAGAATTTTTCCAATAAATGGCAGATTCGATATGGGGCGATAATTTTGAAGTCCCGCAGGATCCAGACTGCTCTTTTTTAGGAGAGGTCTTATGACTGCTGTTTTTAGGGCCATAGGAAATGTTCCTGACGACAGAGACATGTTTACTATTTGTGTCAGTGAAGGTAACAAACTGCTCAGGACGGACTTCAGAAATTTAGAGGGCAATATATCCAGGCTACATGTGGAGGAGCTCAGACTCATGATTATCTTTTTGACAGTTTCAGTATCCACAGGTGCAAAGTGAGTTAGCTCAAAAAGCTTCTCTGGCTGTTGCATTGTTATACGTGCTGTGGAGGTGATAGTGTTTTTGATTCCTTGTACTTTGTCATCGAAAAACTGTGCGAACTCATTACACCTAGATTTAGAGGAAAATTCTAGGGGCAACTTTACAGGGGGGTTCGTTAATCTACCAACTGTTGAAAACATAACACGAAAATTGTTACTGCAACCTCCAATAATGTCAGAAAAATACATTTCTCTTGTTCTACGTAGAACCCGGTTAAATTCACCCAACTCATCTTTAAAGATTTCATAATCGCCCTGGAAATTGGACTTTCGCCACTTCCGTTCGGCCCTCCGGCACTCTTGCTTCTGTGCCCTAACCGAGTCTGCCTTAGTCCATGGGGCCTTTTTCTTACTGGTAACTATTTTAACCGTCACAGGAGCAATGGCGTCCAGAACAGTCAGAACACTGGTGGTGACAGAGTTATACAATTCATCAACAGTAGAGCATGGAGTTTTCTCAAAATTTAGCATTCCCATGAACAGTTCACTTGTGATTAGCATAAATTACATGGCCTCCAGTGCGTTATTTATTTTTTATCACAGAATAGTGTTTCTAAACCAAAGGCGTTGACCGCAGAGCACAGACAAAGCCGAGAGGATTTGAAGTGCGAGCTCACTTCCTCTGTTGACGCTTTACATCCTGTGGCAGGAGGCGATCCGCATCTCCTTTGTGAACAGCCACAACCTACAAACAGCTGTTAGCTACACAGCAGCCAAATCATTGGGACAACACAGGCGTAAGACCTTTTCATTAGTTTCCTCATAACCTCTTTTTTAGTTAAAAAGAACAACTATTATTATTCATAGTATTAGTAACATTAATATATTCATTATTACAAAGTATCACTACTATTAATAGTAATAATCATCTCGCTACATATTGGTCATATTTGAGTAACATAGGAGTAACAGCTGTATACAATATTGGCCTTTAATCCTCTGCATACCGCCCCAACAATACACAACACATTTATTTCAGAACTTCAGTGAAAGCTATCTTCAGACATCTGAAGCCGTCACCAAAGTGCCTCCACCACATCCCCTCTGACTGTAGCACGTTACTGTGGAAACCACTCTGTTTCTTTCACTTGTCACATGATGAATGACATTATCAGCAGTTTGACTCATGACAGTTACAGTACAGTTTTTTGACAGTAGAAATGACTCGTGTTGATAAAATAGATGAACTTCAAAATATGAATCCTGCGTTGCACTTAAAGTCTGCATGTTGAAGCTTCTCAAAGCACAAAATCACTGTTCATTCACTCCACACTCGGTGATGGTAAACTACTAATGTAGCCACAGCTGCCCTGGGACAGACTTCCAGAAATGAGGCTGCCCCCCCCCCCACTTCTATCATCCACTTCACCAGATTCACACTGCTGCATGTTTTGAGAGATAAACAGAAACATGCAAACTCCACCTAGAGAGACGACCTCTTGTCCAGTTCACTCTGTTTTTAGAAAACTCATTACTCAAAGTTTAAAAGCTGTAATTCAACAAGCAAAGGTGGGGAAGCTACAATAAATGTACAAACAAGAGAAATTGAGATTCAGCAAATGGTTCACAGGCTAGGATTATGTTAATCTTACTGAATCTTAGAGTTATTTCATACTTAAAAATAAGTAAAGATTGTCCAGATTTGACAGCAGGCTGTTTCACATAAATGTACGCACACAATATTAATGTCATAAATGTCTGTTATTTCCAACCAGCCTTAAGCTTTAACCAGCACTGTCTCTCTTCTCCAAAAGGATTACTATTAAAATGTAAACAAAACAACAGCTATAGGGTTTGTTTTCTTTCTGACGAGATTTGGGTAATTTGAGCCCACTAACCCAATTACGCTAATTGCATTTCACTTTCTCCCACAGTGATACAATCAAGTACTTCCTGTTTTTAGCTACAAGGTTTTACCACAACCCTCCATCAAGTTTATCAAAATGTCTGATATTGAATTTAATGGTTAGATTTTGATTACAGTTTGAAATGTAGGGTTTTGTTTATAGTGCACATTGTAAACACCTCCAGAATAGAAGTATCAAATGTGAGATAGGACTATGAGCTGAACTACAGTATAATCTACAAGATAGCAAGATTTTGTCTGTATCTTTTGTCATTTTCATAGTACATAATCTTTCTAACGTGTATAATTGTGTGGAATATGGCCTCCACAAAAGTGTCATAAAAGAGCCATAATTGATATCGTGATTCGTTTGCCGTTTAGCTTGAAAAAGGCCCCAAACCTGTAAACATGCACTTTCTGTCCAATACTGAACTGAAAATTGGATAATTGTCCAAAATATTGTTGCTTCCCTTGTGCCCACATGCTTTTCCCCTCTTTGCAGCCTCTTCTTGTGTGACCTGAGACTAGTTTGGGACAAAAGATTGAATGTGACGCTTTGTTTTGATTTGGTGCAGTGCCATTTCTGTCCTTTGACATTTGAGCCATGTTGTTGCTCTCACAGAAAAAGGCTCACAAAGGCTGGCGGTGGGCAGGGCCGGCGTCTGCCTCCTGGCTCATTTATTTGATTGTCCTAATGTCCTAAATCAGCCACTTTGTAAAGTCCTTCGAGAAAACTGTTAAAAATGTGTCTAGTTAGTTTTTGTGCTGATTTAAAGATTCACCAACACGACCAGTGCATCGCCTCCCTGGACAAACTGGTTCTATTATCAGGATTGTATTGAGTGTGTTTTTTAGCAGTGGTAAAGGTTGGCGTGTTGTTTGAATAAGTCTTTAATAGTCACAACATAACGTTTTTCAAGAACAACTTTATCAAGAAGAGAACAGCCCAAACTCTGATGGTACGAGTTTAATCAATAGTTAAAAGTCGTTGTGCAAAATGTTGTTGCCCGTGTGACTTGTGTGCAGTTTTATAACCTTTTTTTTAACAGCTATATTTGGCCGGAGTGTGGCAAAAAGACTAGTTTACAAGGCAGGTTAAATGTGTTCTGATACACAGCCTGTGTCACTCAGCAGGAAAGGAAAGGACGCCCTTTCCGTGAGCAAAAAACATGGGATGGCCTTATTCCGCCTCAGTGCAAATGAGGCCTTAGATGAAATTAGAAAAATAGAGCCAAATAG